TGCTGGGATTACTGCTGCTGCAGTGACACCCTGTCAGTTCCATGGTAGTGCAGCAGGTGGTTTCCACCTGCACTTAAAGCCCTAATGGGGCAGGAAGCAGCTCAGCCTTAGCTTCACCCTGGATGGTGAGATCTCTGTGGTCACTCCCTTTTTGGTCCCACACTGGTCTCACACCTGCTTGCTTTTCTTAGTCTCTTCTGTTGCTCCAATCTGTGTCTGAGTTTTTTCCCACCTTTGTTCCCCACAGGAATCCACCCTAAAGGATGCTAGTCCCATGCTGTTGGTGGTGCTATCCACTTCTTTTTGCCTTGTTTTTCTAGCCTCCTTTTTTAGCTTTGTCCTTCAGGTTTTCTTTTCTGTTCTGTTCCCATCAGCTGTTTTTGTGTGCTGTATTTCTCACTTTCTATTCCCTCAAGTACTCCTGTTCAAGGCAACTCACTCACTGGCAGCTCTCTCTCCCTCTGGAGAACTTCAGCCCCCACCTCCCTCTGCTTTTTCTCTCTTTTATGTCTCTTTTTTTTGTTGGCATTTTCACTTTCTCTCAGAAGACCCTGTACTTGGATTCCTGACATCTCTGTTTGCCACTGTTTATTCATGTTTTCCATTTGATTATCCTACTTACTCATGAGGTATCATTTATCTTGCTTTCTCACTGTCTACACACATGAATATCCCCTCTTCTTCTACTAGCTTTTGCCTGTCTAAACTTACGTTTATATCTTGAACTACTTTTCTTTTTTATCAGTATCCTTCATATAAGTTATATGGTTATCTAATAAATTCCTCTCTCTTTCCTCCTCAGGTCCACTAACATTTTCCTCTCTATCATGCTTGATCCTGATTTCCAGTTCTTCTTCTTCAAACTTTTTACTCAGTTTCTCCTGTCCATTAGGAATTGTTTAGAAACTGAGAAAGAAAAGGGAATTTTCTTGTATTTTGACAGAACAAGGAACAGCCACCAGGCCAGTGTTCTCCTCATCTCCTTTCTCTTTGCCTATGCCTCTTTTCTTTCATCTTTAAGATCACTGTTTAAAAATGGTACTGTTCTTAACCAGTTGTTACCCCACTATAACCTGCCTCTTCTCTGCAAACAGCAAGTCAAAGGTAGGGCAGGGAGCAGGAGCTGCTGATCACAGCACTTAAATGATACTTTTCCCCTCAATATTCTTAAGATGACATATGCAGACACATTAGTGCATTTTATTTTTTCTGTATTGCTGCATAGAAATGGTCTTGTCAGATTTATAATGTATATTTTCCTCTAGGCCATTTTTGAATGGTCCAGAGGAGTCCACAAGTCCTGAGGAGGGCCAGAAGCTCTCCTATGAAGGCAATCTGAGAAAGCTGGCCTTGTTCTGCCTGGAGAAGAAAAGGCTTCAGGGAAACCATACAGCAGTCTTCCAGTAACTAAAGGGGGCATACAAGAAAGATGGAGAGGGACTTTTTATCAGGGCACATAGGAACAGGACAAAGGGGAATGGCTTTAAACTGAAAGAGGGGAGATTGAGATTATGTATTAGGAAGAAATTCTTCACTATGAGGGTGCTGAGGCACTGGCACAGGTTGCCCAGAGAAGTTGTGGATTCCCCATTCCTGGCAGTGTTCAAGGCCAGGCTGGACAGGGCTTTGAGCAACCTGGTCTAGTCGAAAGTGTCCTGACTGTGGCAGGTGATTGGAATCAAATGATCTTTAAGGTCCCTTCCAACCCAAGGCAATATGATTCTATGAGTTTATGGTTCTATGATTCTATGAATAAGTATTTTTGCTTGATGTAAGTACAGCATGAATATAATGCCAGTTTTTCATCTTTGGGCCCTCATGAAAGTATATAAAAAATAGAAATGAGTAGTACAGCCAGAGTCTGAAATAATGCTCTGGAGATCTTGATGAGGTAGAGGAAATTGTATCCTGAAAGTTGCTGATGCTGAAACAAATGACATTATGAAACATGTCATTTTCACCAAAGCCATTAGCTAATCGCTTTTTCAAACATTTATTACATTCTGTTCCCAGACTGTCAATGCTGAGAATCAATAATTTACTTTAAGGCGGCTTTAGGAGCAGACTAGCTTTGTAATAGAAATTGCATGGAAATTGTATACATTTAAGATCTTGAAATTCAACAGTACCTCTGCCTAAGTATCTGATGAGACAGGATCGAGTCCATAACTGAAAAACAGCAGTCAAGATTTATGTCACATACTGCTATTTAAAACCCATTTATTGCTCAAAAATTATTCAATTAATCAGATTAGTAATCCCGAAGTAGGGCCTTACATTTGGCCTACCAGTGATGTCAGCATTGCTGATATCACCTGAAAATGAAGAGCACCGAGGTATAAATCCTTGGTTTGAAAGCAGAAAAGAAATTGCCACATGGTACTCCCTGAGGCTGTCGTTGTAGTGTATGCAGATCACCTGAATGGTTTTGCAAATTCCATTCATCTTAGCAGACAAAATAGCTCAGATTTGTGTTTGCTTTTTTTATCTAATCACAGTATGGTTGATGGTCTGAGCATGTTGTTTACTCTATTTTTATACAAGGAAGTGGGAGCACAAGGGGAAATATGAGTACTGATAGCAGTTGTTCCAAATTGGGTCAAAAGCACCACTGGGAAAAACCTGATTTCATATCCTTGATGCGCTGGAGAATTCTTCCATTCCTTGGGTCTGATCCAAAGCATGAGGACAACTTTGCTGGAGAGCTACTTTAGTAATTACAAGGGGGAAAAAAATGAAGTAGGAATTTATGATTTTGGACTTCTACTTCCAGACTAAGGTAGCACTGGCAACTTAGTTCTCTCCTCATGTAAACTGATGAAAGCAGGTGAAGAGTTCCTGAATATTGATTCTGGCTCCTGCCTATCTGATAAATAAAGGTGATATTGTATGGTGGGCATAATAAAATGCAGTCACATTGCTACTGTGTCCTCTTCTAGAAAACCTGTCTGGATGAAATAAATCTTTCCTTGTATGGATATATTGCCATATCCTAAAGTTTTCACAATGTTTAAAGGATAGAGTGAGGTATAAAAAGAATAGATAGATAGAGTTAGATATAGATGTATTTGTAGATATAGATGTATAGATATAGATATAAATAGAGATAGAGATATATGAAGAAATTTGGTTTCCCATTCAGAAAGGTCTATATAGAATTCTTTGCAATAGCTTTCCACTTAATATCATAATAAAGTAAGACAATATTTCTAACTACCAGCTCTACAATTAAGTAGCTGCCTAATAGATCAGAGCAAAAAGGGCAACATGGGCCACTGTGTGTTTAGGGCAACTGTTTGTTTTTATGTAAAATTTTAGTGGTTAAAAATGTGAAGACAGGAAAACACTACTGCGTTGCCAGCAAGGGTATAAACTGCTAGCTTTACTTTGATTGACATTATCTACAGATTCACCTGGGAAAATGTATTAGCTGTATAAGGAAGATCAGAATTTGATCTTGCTATATATCGTTCTCACTGTATTTTTCAGACTCCTGACCCTGTGTGTGCTGGCACAAGAAATATTGCTATCAATTTATAGGAAGTGTCATATAATTTATTGAGTGGTTGAAACTTCTCTCATCTCAAACAACTGCCAGTTTTCTAATCTATGAATATTAAAAATGCAACTCATGGGAAGTGATCAGTGTGACAGATCTGTGATAGATTCATACAGGATTTGTCTTCTGTCTGCTGGTTTCTGTGAGGTTTATTACCCTTGCATCAGTGAAGGAAGCAATTCAAACTCTCCTCTATGTGTGCATTTTAAGCATCAAGCATAAAACCATTCAATCCTGATTCTCTACCTCATTACACATGTCTACTGACATTTAGACATGGAGAAGCGTGTATTACATTTTCTGAAGCTGAATGATTGACTTTTCTATCCACTGTGCACTCTGTTTGGATTATCCTGAAGGTAGGATTCACTGGAGAACCAAACCCCCGGCTATGTTTGACACTGTTTTTGTCTAAGATGACTGTCAGTGAAAAGGTGCTTTACTGAACTGTTGGTGGTTTTAGGCCTTATGAAAAAACAGCAGCATGAGCCTGCTTTAGGATACATACTATTGCCATCACAGTGATGTTTTGCCTCCATAATTCACCCGTCACAGTGCTTGCCTGTCAGGGCAGCATTTTGGCAGCTGCTTGCTTGGATATAACAAAGAGGCCAGGTGCAAAGTCTGTGTCTTTTTCTGCTGTCCTCCTCCTATGCTGGGGCAGTGATAATTTGCTTCTATCCAGAAGAAGTCACACTGTGGCATTGTTTCTAAGACTAAGAAAGCCTCAAAAGAGGATTATATTATTACCAATTTGTTTAACAGTGGACTGTGTTATCTAGAGTTTCCTAATTTTAACTTACATATTGCCCTGCATAACTAGTAAATGAATCTGTAAGTGTATAGACAGAAAGATTTTATCCCTTTTTTCCCTGGCATCACTCAGGAGATATTTCATGTGCCCACAGTTACAGGGTGTTAACTCCAGGGAGGAGGCAGACCAAACAGTATGAGAAATGCATGAGCAATACTTTTTGCTTTAGTGGGACTTGAAAAGACAAAAAAGAAGGAGACAGCAGAGAGCCAGCCTAAAACCTGGGAGCATGTCCTGCAGCAGGACATGTCAGCAGGATGATTCAGCCTTTCTAACTGCTCAGCCCCACCACAGAAGCAGACAGTACAGGTGCTAGTTAGCACATTGTTTTCTGTGATGTTTCCCTGTGTATCTGGACTAGCATCATCGACTCTCATTACAAGCTAAGTGACATAGGCTGCCATGGACACAGGGAAAACCTGAAACTACATGAGGTAGTATGGAGAGGCTGATCTCTTTAACTGCACAAAGAAATTAAATTAGTTTCTCTTTCATGCTCTGGTTTTGAAAGAGCAGCACACTGAGCTGAAACGTGCCTGGCTTGAATGCAGAATTCACATGTGTATGTTTGTCCAATGTATCTTCCAAAGTGGTTCCTTTCTTTCTTTTCTTTCTTTTTTTCATCAGAAAGAAACACCACTCGCCAATGCTGCATTTTGGGCTGCAAGAAAAGGAAACCTGGCTCTCCTCCAGCTGCTGATGAACAGTGGGCGAGTAGATGTGGACTGCAAAGACAGCGTATGCACATAATGCACCTACACCCTGGGCACTGATTTTGCATCACTTTCCATAGCCCGCTGTGCAGAGTGTGTGGCAGGGATCTAACAATAGGCATATAAGAGTCTTATGGCACTTAGGGATGATTTAAAACCTTATCTTGTCAGGAAGCAAGTTTGAAGCTGAAGATAAAATAGCATGATGATTTACATCAATGGCAAGGGGTTAGGAATTTGCCAGCACTCAAAAATGTGTCTTACACAGTTATTTGTGGTGCTGACATTAAAAGCACGTATCCTAACACCTCAGGCTTCTCTTTGCAAGGAAATGTCATTATAGTCATAGATCACAGTGAAGAGTCAACCCAGCTAAGCCCAGGTAGCAATGATTCTGTCAGCTTGCAAAGCTCCTCATAATTAGAAGAATTCCTGGCCCCCTAACTGCTGATCCTCCCCCACCCCAGTATCTCCTGGACTTGGCACCAAGGCCAAGCAAAGAGTAACCCAGTCACCTGGGAGATAGATTTCATGGGGATTTCCTTACTGTAATTGGCATGGGTTGAAATCAGTTTTGAGATTAGGGTGAAATGGGGTGAAAACACAGACATGTCTTGCTATTCTGCCTACAGTATATGGAGAGGTACTTGATTGTACCAAGCTGTGGCAAAGAGCAGGGGAAAGCTGAGGTTGAGAAATTCCCAGGTTTCTGTTGTTTGGAGCTGGGCCTGGCTTACTGGGAGTTGTGTCTGTGTTGCACAGGATTGTTGTTCACGTTTCCAGCCTGAAACATGAACCTGTCACAACCTCTCTTACTTTGAATAGCTTAAAAGTGCAAAAGATGTTCTAAGCCCATTGACTTCAACCTATCTTTTAATTTTAGTTTTACTTTTGCCCTGTAGGCAAGTATTTGTCCTGCACTACTTCTGGAGCTGATGCTGTAACTGTCTTTCTGACAGGGAGGGGAGGATGTTCAGATGGGTAATGAAGTAAGCAGGACAGATCAATGTAAAGAAATAAGGTCCATTACTCCTTGATCTTTCTCAAAAGAAGGCTAACTTTAGTAAAGAATTCTTACAATGCACTGTAAAATATCCTGCCTTATCCATTCTAACAGGTATGCACGTTTTCTAGACTATAATATTCTGGTATGATTAAGGCTGCATGCTTCTTTTTTGAAACATCATACATTCCTTCTTTAAATTGAACTGGTATGTGTGAATGGTTTAGAGGATAAGTTCCATCCCTAGGCATGTGGTTTCTGTGAGTTGTCTGCACACCACATACACATAACCTAAATCTTACCTGGTTCACTGAAGTAGTGACCTTATGGTGTACTGTGGGAACTTCAACACATAGTTCTGGTATGGAAAGTTGTCTCATATAAAGTGAAAAGATTACTCTCATAATTTGGATAGGGAATTAGTATTCAAATCACCCAGACCTTGTTCCTGACTGTGACTCAGAATTAAGTGACTCAGCTAAGTCACTCAGCTCCTGTGTCTAAGTTTATTCTCCTGGAAATGTTGCAAAGATCTTTGGGATTCTCTGATAAAAATGCTGTGCATAAACCAAAAACATTCTTGTTACCCTTGTTTCACTTATTTTGGGACAATAAGGCAAAGTCATTGCATACATATTTGTTGAATGGTCAGGCCTTAGCACTGCAGACAAGTCTGTAATGTTTTTGCTTTAACACCCCCTAATTGCTCATTTTCAAAGTATTCGTGATAGCAAGCTTTAAATGATAGCAAGTTTTTCAATTATCATAAGCTTCTTTCAGCTTTTCAGAAGAGGTGCTGCTGTCTCTTCCATTCAGCCTGATTCATTGCTGAAGGTGTCTGTAGAAGGTACTGACTTGTTTTTCCTTATTCCCAGCTTGGCACAACAGCTCTGATGGTAGCATCTTACTATGGCCACATAGACTGTGTACGGGAATTGGTGTTGCAAGGAGCAGATATCAATCTGCAGAGAGAGGTAGGAGAAGTTCTGCAGTCAAACAGGGATTAAGTGACCATTGGCTTATTACAAATAGTAAGAGTGTTGTAGTGTTGTCTGCTGCTTTTTTTGCTAATTGCTTCTGTGTTACTTGCATGTATGAACAGGGTCTGTTCTGAGGACATCAAGGAATCAGATGTCTGGATTTTATAATAGGAAATGAGATGCCAGAGGAGCATTTATAAATAATTCATCAAACATTTCCAGCACATTTGGTTGGTGAGGGGCAGTTACATCTGAGATGCAACTCCAGGGTTACACCATTAATGCATCTGCAGTTTTACTTATCAGCACAGTAACTTACAGCTCTCCAGATGAGACATCCTTTACCATTCGATTTGCAGAGTCCAGTCATTCAAATGGAATGGATGTCATTGCTAGCCTGAGGATTATTTTGGCTCACTACGTTTTGGAGTTTCTGCCTTTTGGTCTGAGCCAACTCATCTGTAACAATCCCACAGCTTAATCACCTGTACCCTTCCTTGCGACTTTGCTTTGCCTTCAAGGCATCTCTTGCACCATGCTTGCTTGTGGCTGGCTTCAGGAAGCTGCCTTCCCCTCGTACTCCACACAGATGTTTGTAAGGAGTACCTGCAGCTGCTCTGGTCTGTGTGCTGTATCTACAGAGAGCAGAATTGCTCTGAGACAGCAACAGTTGTACTGGTCCTAAGAGCAGAGCAGTTTAAGGAGGGCATGCAGTAACACAGGAAGGTGGCTGGCAATGCAGGACAGCAGTATGTTTGTTGCTTTAACAATACAAGCCAATGTTTCTCACTTTCCTTGGAAACCTGGAACCAGAGAATTAATCTCATGCTGACACCTGCAAGTTACTGAGTCAGTGAATGCCATGTTCAATGATAAAAGTTTCTTTGCACTTACTGGCCTAAACTTGCTCTAACCGTGAATGTGTCTTTCTGGGGGGTCCTGTTCCAGCAAATCTTGTATTTAAACATGTTCCTTCCCTTAGGGTAAACACTGCTTGAAAAGCAGGGACAAAAGGAAAAGTTGAGAACAGCTTTATGGGGCTGCTCTTGAGTATTGCTCAGGATGCAGTGATTCAGCAAGCCAACAAAAAGAAACCCTGAAATCCTCCAAAATTACTCTGTTGCAGAGAAGAAGCAACACAGATGAAGTTTAAGCCCTAAAGAAAAATGGCACTGTTTTGCAACTAAATTCAACCAGTAGCTTAACCAGTGCTCTTGTACTCTGAAGGTGTTGTGAAGCTTAGGGAAGTGAAAGCCCCATAAATGTATCTGGAAGAGGAGGCTCTGAAATGGTGTCAAGAGACCTATTGTAAAGGCATTAGACACTGGAGTGAATTTCATGTGGAATAGGTGTTGATTTCAAATTAGCTGTTCTTTTCTCACTCTGGGCTTTTTTTCCCTATCTGGTGACTGGGTAGAAGTTAGTAAATTCTAAGAGGTCTATTTGAGTAACTGTGCAGAAGCCCCTTATGAAACTTGCATTTTATTCAAACATACGATGCTGGACAGATTTCTCAGTGCAATAGGAATAAAACTGACCTAAGATACCTGGTGTCCTCAGAAGTCCTCAAAATCATCCTGTCTTTTCAGCTGATATAGAACAGATTGTGAATACTTTTAGATTTGAAAGTGTCTTATGTGTTTGAGTTTTTTTTAATCCATTTTATTCCTTACAGTCAGGTGCAACTCCTCTGTTCTTTGCTGCACAGCAAGGCCACAACGATGTAGTGAAGTTTCTCTTTGAATTTGGAGCCTCTACTGAATTTAGGAATAAAGTAAGATGATGGGTCTGGTTTTGCATGCTGATACATTCCAACAATCAAAGCTTTTTTTCCTGTTCACATCAAATATGACATGGCAGCAGGAGGATGACAAAAGGATTTCCTCACTTGAACATTTTCTGCTTAATATGTGTAAAACAACATATTGTGAAACTATTAACTTGGGACTAGCTTCTGTTACCTAGAATTAATGGCTTAAGTCAATCAAAGGTCAGTCCCTTGATAGTGATAGTTGATAGTCTTTATTCTCAAGCCATCCTACAGTACAAGGGGAAAGGGTCTTTTTATACATGTTAGGTAGGATCCCATTTTAGGTGTATATGTACTTCATTTGCACAGAATGGAATTTCATCTATTTTGGGATGTCTCTGAGTGCTACCATAGGATACGTAAAAGCACAATGGCTTCAGTCCTTCCTAAATTCCTATTTACCCATCTGTGCCAGGATGAAATGCACCTCAGAGCTTCTATTTATTTGCTCATCTCAATCCTTTTACAAAATCTTCTCAGAATAGCCAGAAGCACAGACAGTAGAGCCTGGGTTGGTTCATCCCCTGTCGTGGGGTGAACAGCTTCAATTCATCGCTGACATCAGTGTATCAATTCAGTTTCTTTGTCCAAAGCAGTACTAGAACCTCTGCTTTCAGCAAACAGAACCAAACCCAGCATATTTTCATTACATATGCTTGTCCTTGATATGCTGGCCAAATTTTGGAGAATCCCAATAATTTGCAAAGACGTTTGCCACTCACTTACCCTGGGATCCATAGCAATGTGTTTAAAGAAGGAATAGCTGTTTACCCCACAGCAACCAATCCTTAAAGCTGTTATAGTCTGTGATTTGAATGACTCCTTTGAAATTGTTTGATCTTTCATGACAATTTATGATCCTTATGAAGCATGCAAAATATACATGACATGAGTCAGTAGGGCAGATAAAAGGATAAAAGGGAGTAAAGATCTAAATTAAAACAAATATATTCCTGCATTCTAAACTTAAACAAGGGAAGTTTAGATTGGATATAAGGAGGAAATTCTTTCCTGTTAGGGTGGTGAGGCACTGGAATGGGTTGCCCAGGGAGGTTGTGAATGCTCCATCCTTGGCGGTGTTCAAGGCCAGGTTGGACAGAGCCTTAAGTGACATGGTTTAGTGTGAGGTGTCCCTGCCCACAGCAGGGCGGTTGGAACTTGATGATCTTAAGGTCCTTTCCAACCCTAACTATTCTATGATTCTACAAAACATGGGGGTCTCCAGACAGAGCTTGCTGGAGGAAAGTGTAAGGTAAAGTAAGATGGAAGTTTGATATGGGGGAGAAGGGGCTGAATTTTCCTCCTAAGAAACCATGGGCTTTCGCACCGTTTGACAGTTTTTTGATTTATCTGAGTGTTGTCTTACGACATGGCAAGTGGAAAAGATTCCTGGCTTTGACTTCCCTTTCTTGCAGAAAGACCTATCTCTGCTTATCATAGTGGTACCCTCACCCAGAGCGTGCAAATAAAATCACAGTCTTTTCTGTTGAAAGTATTCAACTTCATAGGAGACATGCAGTAGAACAGGTCTTAGATACCAAGGAGCTGTTCCTTAGTTCTTTCTGACCCAGTATATATATTTGATTCAGGGTGGACAGCTGGAACTGGGGGCCATGCAAAGCTTTTTTCTGATCTCCAAACTCTAAGCAGGGTGATGGAGAAAACTTGGTTGTTCTAGTCTGAAAGTTCTAAATGGTATATTTTGGAAATGTGTCATTCTTTAAAAAAATGTATCTATCTAAAACTGTTCAATGGATTTAACCAAACACTTGGTTAGGATTGCCATTTTGAGATGCCAAGTATATCCTGTGAGAAGTGTCTTCTTTCTTAAACTTCAGGCTGTATAATTTCTCAAAGTGAGATCACACAATTGGACTTCCAAGTGTTGGCCTTCAGCTCTGCTGTGCTAACTGTGGTTAGCTTTGCAGGCCTGCCTTTTGTTTGGGACCTGATATTTGGTTCCTTCCAGAACTTACATTAATAACCAAACAATCTTCTTAAAATAACAGGAGTTTGTTGAGAACACACTAATTTTTAGAAAGCAAAAACTAAACCATAAAGCAATTAACAAACTATTCCCACGTGCAGCTGAGTGTGTCTACCCTCCATACAGGGAACCTCAATATTTTTAAGCTTCCTAAAAAGCATCCTTTCCTGCTTCTCAGCAGAGGACCTCCAATCTAGATAGCACAGTTTCTCAACTCACTGACCTTTCTCTCTCCATTTCATTCAGGGAAAGTGTCCTTGAAAATGTCTCTTTATTTTGTTTGCAGCCCTTTGATCTGGTAATTCACCACTCAAGCAAAGTGTCTTTCAGCTGGTTGGAGACAGCAAATAGGTTTCACAAAGCTGTTAGTTTTTGCCATTGTCTTTAAGTGTGTATAAGGCATTTCTTTAATTCAGAATCCTCTGTGATTGCTTGTGTGTTTTGTTTCAGCAGTTCTTGTTAAATTAGGGTAGTTCAATTTGACAGGAAGGTCTAATGACACCTTGTAGCTACAGAGTAACTTAACTCCATCAACCTGATTACACATTATATTTACTCAAACAATTTAGAATTAATATGCAATTCTTAGATTGTTGTATAACAGCTTCATATCCGTGACTTTGTTGACATTCAAGCCTCGTTTGCTTTTCAGCGTCACAGGGAAGGAAGATGAATTTGAGAGCAGTTATATACAGTCCCTATGGGTTAGCTCAATCATGTCTCGAGCTTGAGTTTTCATGAGGTTATTGTAGGCATGAAATAGCACCACAGATTAATAAATTTGATTGGCACTTCCCATTATAAAAGATCCATTTGGCTGTTCAAGCTGTAACTTCTCTTGTGGATATCTGTCTGTGTGGAAAATTTCAGACAAAACTTTGGAGCTGTTTCAGAGAACAAAGCTGAGAGAAAACACAGTCTTCTGCCTACATTAATGACAGCTCTAGAAACCATTTATCTGAAATACTTCAGATAGCTTATCTTGTGGAGGAGGGGCTTGAGACTGGGAGAAGGCAGGGAAGGAGAGAGACCTCTGGTGAGGATGAATAGGGGTGTGCCTCATCTTTGCACGATGGTATGGTGTCATCCCAGGCAGAAGATAAGAACTTCCTCTCCATATTAGTGTCAGAAATACTGGTAATTTTTGAGTGGGGAACAGTGCACTTAAGATGGCAAGACCCATTGTTGTTTCAGCTGGCTTGGATTCAACTGCCAGGACACTGAGGTGTTTCCCTTCTCAGATGGCTCCCAAGGGAGCGTGTCTACAAGCAGGATTCAATGCATGTGCCTAGGTCTCCCTTTAGTGGTGATGTGCAGCAACAAAACTGCCTGGGATTGAGCCTACCTGCAGGGATCTCACTTCTTCAGCAGAAGTAATGTGGCTTTCACTGGTGGTCATGTGTTTGGTCTGACTTTGGTCTAGTCAGCTAGCATGCTTCAAAATGCACCCTCCCTACTCTTCCTTAGGCCAACAATCAATATGTTAGAGGCGGGAAATGACAGGGAGTGAAGTTCTGGCTAAAGAAGAGTAAATGACTGGTAGGCTTGGAGCAGGGGAAAGGTGTGCTGTCCTTTAGTAGGTGGAAGAGCTTGGCAGGAGGGCGGGATTTGGCTGTAAAGGGAAGAGACATGGAGGAGTTGTGAAGGAAACAAAACAAAAGTTTCTAGTGGGAAAGCAGAAGAGGAGGAACAAAAAGCAGAACAAAAAGCGCTATAAAAAACTCAGGAGAAAACAGTTTATAGTGACAGAGCCAAGTTTAAAGATTTGCATGGCAAGACTTGGTACTAGACTTATGAAACATTCAGCAGCTAGTTGCTACAGAACTGCTGAGAGCCAAATTCTGAAAAGCCATAAAATCTGCTTTTCTTTTTGTATGGCGATGTTTAGTCCAGTGCCTGACTCTTACCTGACTGTACCCATTCTTTGCTTTTTCACAGGATGGAGGTACTGCACTTCTAGCTGCTTGTCAGTACGGGCATGCAAAAGTAGTGGAAACGCTGTTGAAGCATGGTGCCAACATTCATGATCAACTTTATGTGAGTTATTTGACACAGCTAATATTGACAACACTGGTGATGGAACAAATGCGCTGTTGGTTGAACAACAGCAGATGGTCTGACTCCAGCACAGAGAAGCATTTGCCAGATGTGGTTTTATAGTACTGTTCTAAGATGTGAATTCTGTTAACTGTCTGCTTTTCATGACCCTGGGAGAAGTAGCATGAAATCAGAAAAGACGTTTTGGATGTCTTTTGATTTGCTATCTCTATGAAGGATCAAATCTGGATCAGATCTGCTTAATTCATTAGTCTTGAACAAAAGACCATGTCATGCCCTACCAATGATTTTCAGGGCAGACAAAAGAGTGAAGAGCAATACAGCCCCTGAGGTACTAGAGAATCAGATCATCAGTTTTCTGCCAGAAAGAGTAGTAAAAGTTAAAATATTTAAATCTTTAAATATCTGTAAATTATTTTTTAAAATATTAGTTAAAATTATATTATTTGGTATTGGTGTATTTCTAGCTTGACAGTGTTTGCCTCCAGGGCAAAGGATGGTTAAAATGGCTGATGTTGTTTAGTTGACTTTTCAGAAAGCTGGATTGAACAAATGAAGCACTGGATTTAATTTACTGCAACTGAGATACAAAAACATTGAGCTTTTCAGCATTCAACAGAAACAAATGGTAGATTTTCTTTCCACTTTCCACTGCTCATTCATACCCTGGGGCACTCAAAACTGACAAAGAAGAAGTTGTTCCACAGGGATATAAGTTTTTTCAGCTTTTTCCAGGGGCTTTGGATCTGCAGGATGCTGTTGAAGTCTTAGCTCCCACAAGTGTGCATGGGAGCTAAGGGCTGGTGACTGCAGAGGCTGTGTACTAGACGCATAGGGGATCTCCACCTCTGTGCTGCCACCACCCTGTATTTATGAAGAAAGGTGTTCCACCTTCACTGCTGTGCAAATAGCAGTTGCCTTTCTAATCTGAGGGCAGTGATTCATACCTCTGCATGGTAATCCTGGGGTTTACCACTTAGTTTAAAAATAGCCATGCTGCCACACCTGCAGACACTTACCTAGAAGTAAAGGCAGTAAATTAACTTCCTTGTTGTCTCTCTTGGAAATGAGCAATATGTGCAATTGCATTTAGGGATGTATTTTTATTGCTTACAGCCATTGGGCAAAACCAGACAGAAACGTCTGCTTAATAAAATAAGAACACAATCTCTTGAAAATGAGTGTTAGCTTGGCTGCTTTTGTGGGATGTTGCCAAGCTGCATTTGAGAAGCAGTAACTGGCTGGCAGGTTCACTGGCAGACAACAAAATGGGAGGGATTTTGAGCATGCATTTGGGTAGTCCTCCTAAAACCATCTAGATATTTTAATCTTAAGTTTACCCATGTGAGGGAGGGATAGAGGAGAAAATGAGAGAATACCATAACTCAATAGTATGTCTTGCAGAAATATGTTATAGCCTTTAAAACAGCTTTCTCATTACACCATCAATTCAAATCATGTAGGTGATAAGGAACCCAAGGTTCTCCATCTTTACTGATGCTACAATAAAAAGCTCTTCTAATATTACACGATCTTGTTTACTTTCTAAATGGAAGAGTTATTATTGCACTTGTCTCTGGTGGAAGCCTGCAAAGGACCTAATACCATCCTGTTATTTCATATACTCTCATAGCAACCAGAGAAAACAGCCCCTCAGAGAGCCCAGGGGTGTGTGTTTGTAGTGCCAGCAGACACCTCGTTTGTTTGCCAGGACATTTGTCTTGAAATCAAAGCCAATCATTCTAAATTCAGTCCCTGGGGCGCTATATTCAGCTCATGCTTCACCAAGTCTGTGCTGAGTTTTGCAGAAAGAAGAGTAGCTATGCAGTATCTCTTAGCAGACAATAGCGTTTGGTCCCAACATAGTGATATGCCAACAAGGGCAACAACAGACTTGTACTAAAATGCCCTGTAGTTTGCATATGCATGAGATGACATGAACTCTGTATTTGCATATCTGAGATGCCGTGAAGGGATGTCCCTAATTAAAGAGTCTCACCTTCTGAGAAAACTTGCCCTAGCATGCTCTGTGCTGAGTGCTGTGGTTATGGGATGTGTAAATACCTGTCCCACCCTCATTGCAGATTTCCACTTCTAGTTGGTTGGAAGGATGATAATGCCATTTGAAATATTTTCAGAAAAAAAACTTAATGAAATATGACGTCTAAATTCTTTTCCTAAGGAAGAAATTCCTGTGAAGTCAAATTCTGAGAATATCTGCACATGAAAGACACATTGAGGAAAAATTAAAACCCCATATTTGTTTACAATCTTTGTTCTTCAAAAGCTTTGTTCTTCCACAAGCTTTTGCACGAAAATGCTGGTTTCTTACAGGGCTATGACACAGTCTGTCTTACATGTTCTACTTTTACATCATTATATTAGAGGTGAAGTCTCCTTTACAAGGTGTGCCAGAGCAGCGGCATGGTAGTTGTTAGGGTGGCCCAGTAGTACGGCAGAGTACTTACTCATTTAGCATCAGGGGCAGGCTTCAGTGCTGGAGCCTCCAGTCTTGCAAAGTACTTGACCATGTTTTCACCATGCGTCTATGTAACAGAACACTTCTACAAGAACATATAAAAGCTAAATGAAACTACATTGCTATACAGGATGAATTTCTTGTTATGTAGAACAACGCTTCTATGAACTAGACTTTAGGATTCCAGAACCAGGATTTAATGTTTGGTTTGATACGTGATGGGAGCCAGCACTTGTGCATACAGAATGAAAATGTTACCGTGGTTTGTTATGAGCTAGACTGGATTTTGGCAATTATTTCCTGAGCATGGCTGTATACCTGCTGTTACATGGCATAATGGCTTAAGAACCAGAACTTGATTCAGTTTGGCTTGGTTTTGTGAGGAAAAGTGGCATCACTTCAACACAGCATAAGATGGATGTATTTGTTCTTAGGATGGAGCTTCTGCAATTTTCCTGGCAGCACAAGGAGGCTATCTGGATGTTATCCGATTGCTACTTTCTTCAGGAGCAAAGGTTAACCAGCCACGGCAGGTAAACTCAATACTTGAGGGCAGAACTGGGATCTGATTTTTTACAGTTATGAAAAATTAACACTGGAATTTTCTCCAGGCATCAGATTCCCATGGAAGTATTTCACTGGAAGGCAGATTGTGGGGTCTCAGAAGAATGGAGTAAAGGGGGAGAATCACCTCCTCTCGACCTGTTGATCACACTTCTTTTGATGCAGCCCTAATCCTGCAAAAACGTACAACCAGTGGTAACAATAAGCATGAAATCAGCTCCTCTGCAGGCAGTGGGGCTGCTGTTTGATCATTAAATTATCAAACATTGATCATTTGAGTTAGATTTGTGGCTGGTTCAGAGGTCCCTGCTAGGGAGCTAAAGGTTAGATCCACCCTCCATCACCGTATGTTGGTGTTAGGTGAGGGTGCAAGAGACTTCCTAGGTGTCAAACTATTTATGGGATACACAGAATATGTGGTGTACAGATAAAAATAAAAGCTCTCTTGGTTGCAAAAAAAGGGTTCCTTAATTGTTCAGCTGCTTCTTGATTCTAAAATTGGTGCTTAAGTGGCACATTTAATACGCTGCTTTGAGTCGCCAGATGTGGGAATTGCACAGCTAGCTTTACTCCCAACACGTAGAAATGTCTGGTTAGAGACAGGGCTTCCCAGGAATCTTTGCTTGCTTTAATAAAGTCTCCTGTGTGGTCTGCTGAAACCCTGCAGGCAAGGTTGCTGTCCTGGGTCTTCACTGCACATTTTAAATTGATGGGATAAGGTCTTGTCCTTGCAATCAGTCACATATGTCTGCCAGGTGGCTGTGATCACTAACTTGCAGCAACTAAAAAATCATCAGGCGAGAGCAAACAAATGTGAAAACTCTAATAACAGTGGACAGCATGGCATGTGACAAGCTTTGTCAGGCATTTTCAGCATTTCCTTTCACCTACACCAAAAGCCTAACAAATCATAGCCTGGCAGCAGAGACTGATCTATATGACTTATACTGAACCTGTAGGTCTGTGTAGACTACTTGCTGCTCTGTAGTGTAAGGAAACTAGATTAGCATTTTATGTGTTCAAACTAAAGTAATATTCCTGCTCCCCCCTCCTGCACCTCTCCAGCACTGGAACTGTGCTGGCAGCTACTCCCTGGACTGATGCTTTAGCTGCTCCTAGGCTTTCTCCACACTGTCTTCCAAGATCAAGATTAAAAAATGTTAAAACCTGTTAATTCACACAGTCTAAAAGATCAACGGAGTAGGATGGACCAAGTTGGCATTAATGCCTTTTGAGTTGGTCAAAATAAAGTTGGGGCACCTTAGATTTAGCTGAACCATGTTGCCATAAAATCTGCATCCTGCTAACCATAATTATAACGCACCAGCTAATTCTTCTGACAGTATTTTTTTAGTTCTCTAATCCAATTTCTACAACAGAATGTTTCATGAGGCATTTTTAAATCTTAGTTGAGGCAAAGACTTGACTCTGTGTGAATGTTCCTCCTGTCTGTTTCATCTCTGGCAGGATGGGCTTACTTTGCTCCAGGGTACCTCTGATCCCTGCTAAGATTATGCCTGGATAAGTCTGTGGCATTTGTATTTGGGCCCACTGTAATCTGAAACATTTCCTTAACAAATGGAACATTTTTACTGTTTAATTAGTAAAGTAATGGTTGGATGGACTTCGGTCTCTCACCAACAAACAAATTTGTACTTTGTTCGAAGGTGGCATGCTGGTCATGAGGAATGTAGCTCTAGATGGAGCAGTTTTGATGCCAGATGACTCTTGCTGTCAGTTACAAGCTACATTGCCCTCACTGCTGTAAGAAACTTTTCTAAGCAACATAACATTGAATACAGGGCTGCAGAGTGCCAGGTGTGAGTTTGTGCTTCCTCCTCATGGTGTCCAAGTTTTCCTCTCTACCTTCTGAATTTGGGGTCTTAATTCATGTGCCTGAATGCTTGCATCTGCCCTGTAAGTCTCCTCCTGCTGCTGTAGCGGGTACCAGTTCCTCTTCAGGCTCATGTCCCATCTGCTAGTCCCACAGGGGCATTCATGACACTATAGAGCACCTCGGATGGCACTGGCTATCTGTGTGCAGGCCCTTCAGCTCAGCTCTCACAAGACTTAGTAGTGAAGATTCCTGGCGAGTTTCTTTCCTGACAATGTATTTTCTCTTGGATTTTAGCTGCCTTCTGATCTTCCTAACATTGCAGAGCCGGGTAGGAATTCTTTTGTCATCTTTTTGTCTAGACAGAGCTTGGGGCAGTGTCTGAAGCCTGGTGCAAGAGGTGTTTCTTTACTTCTTCAACTCAAAGCGAGAAGATTATCTGCCAATGATTTTTACACTGTTTTGGCAGCCTGTGTCCCAGCAGCCTCTAGTCTGACTGGGTAAGCAGGCTCCAAATACTCTGAAAATCAGTGATTTTTTTTCTTAACAAATGATATGCAATTACACTTATATGTAAGCCAGTAAATGTATAGAGAGTATAGACCTCAGGCAAACAAGCAATTTGCTATTAGCAAGAATTGAAATGGTGTAGTGGTGTGAGTACACTGATGGGCAGAACAGTGGACAAGATGATGCTGAGTAGCCTGAGAGTAGGGGCTCTCTGTACCTGAAAGTCCTTACTGGGAATTTGAGGGCTATTTTACTTCCCACCCTAATCTGGCCCTTTCTAAAACTCCAAGCCACAAGCAAACATTGAAATTCAAAGCTGCAAGGCAAAAAGTCATTAGCTAATGGATAAGATAAAGAGCATGGGAAATTTTGGTTAGAGTATGTTTGGAACCGCTGGCTGCTGCATATAATGAGAGGTAGTCTGTATATTCTAGCTTGTAGTCAAATACAGAAATAAGCACAGCTTAAAAACATATGGGGTGTTTAACATTGTTCTAGGAATGTAGTGGTTTGCAGTCTGCTGGGTGGGCAGAGGGACAAGGAAAGGAAAACAGTTTTTGAACTGTGTCTTTCCCTATTCTCACTTTCTTTCTGACCTGTCTCTAAGCCCTAATGTCTGTTTACACAGGAATTCTCATGTGACCTTTTAGTACAATGTAATATCTGTTTTGCACCATATAGCAACATGAAAATGGACAGAAAATTCATTTACACCATATAAATTTTATATGCATTTGCGTAAATCTGTATATTAGATGCTATTTGCTTAAGAGCAAAAAGCTGACAATGGTCAGTATGAGCACACCATCAACATCATCATCATTCTTCTCTCCAGGCTAAATTCTCCAAAACAGTCACCCTTTCTCACAATGTCTTTTTGCCTATAGCTGAGATAGTGAGGTTGATGTTACCCAACACTTCTGCTCCTTTTCATTTATACCTGGAAATATGAGCTGTTCTTACAAACTTCACTGTGAGAAAAAGAAAGCTGCTATGTTCTGCATGCTGCGCTTGTGCTTGCATTTCTTGTATAAACAGAAGTGTGGATTTGCACAGCATCGGTTCTTTATGCAGATTCAATTGTGTAAGCAAATTCAACTGCTCTCTTTTCCAAGTTTTATAGGCTTTCTCAGTGCCCCTATTGCTATTTACTAGAGCCCTCTGGTGGGGGGAGATTAGAAAAATATGAAGTATGGCAGGGAAAAAGCTATAAACTGGAGAGGGACAGTTTTTGCCATCACACTATCACATACACTGTATATAAGAGAGCCTTTGTTATTTTTGAATCAGAAAGAACACTCATTGTATTAACAGGATACATACTAGAATGAGGTCAGTCGCTAATTTAAATTCATTAATCTATAGAGAAATGATACAAGAGTGGGCAAAGATCCTGTTCCTTACTATTTGTTAAGACTGAAGATCTCAGAATGTGCGTTTGCTCTTTCTCAGAATCAGAAATAGGGAAACTCAGAATATCATATCAAAGAAAGAAATAACTTTTCTGTTTCTTTGAAAAGATGAAGTCACTAGCCCACAGAAAGCAGAGAATTTGTGCAACAGTGGTTTTTTGGACTGCATGGGCAAGTCATATGAATCTTCAGCTGGCACTAAGGAGAGAGATTTCTTCTTTAATTAAGGTAGAAATACCTTATTTAAAGTAAAAAGTTGTTTTCTCCTGAAAATTCTCATTAAGGCTTTTTTGGAAGCCCCAGTATAATTTGTCTTCCTTTTTCCTGCCAAGTCTTCAGGCTGCTGTGGGTGGTGAGCAGAACTGGCAACTGCTGAAGGCAGAAGCAGGCACCCTGCTACACGAGGCTTCACTTTTATGTTAAAATCCGTACAGGAAAAGCCTTTTGTTAAGGGCCCACAAGAATCAGTTTGGCACCACATAGCTGCTGGAGTCCTGTAGTCTGAAGAATCAGGCCATTTAGAAGCAAAAGGAGGAAAAGACACAAAACTAAATTCTAATTGAAGTGAGAAACACTTCTAGAGCTTCAATTCACCTTTGCCTTTGGGATGAAAATCAATCACAAAGTCTAGCTTATTCTGAATGTGCATTTTATTTTCTGAAGTTTTCTGCTCAAGTAATGATTGCACAGGACAATTTTTCCAAAACAGATTATTTGAGGTTGGATTCCTTGATAATTTTCTTGTTTTCTAGTGGAGCTGTTGAACATAAAATCTGTGAAACACTCACCACCAGTGTAAGGCAGGGTGTTTTTAACATTCCCTGAGGATGGGTAACGTAACTTAATGTTGGAAGCTGGTGATCATCTTGCATTGCTCCTTAACTTCTATAAACAGCCTCTACTCCACATGTACAGAGACCCAGCTGCAGAATCTCCCCATGCATGCTGATATTTGCCTGTATCTTCTGTCACATCTACCCACCTAGAGTTCAAAGTACGCTTTGGCATTTACATTTCAGACTTCCACATTTATTTGAGGTACAGCTGTTAAGACAAAGTGGCTTTTAACTGTTCAGACAGTAATGCATGTTTCAGGCCAACTGTGTAAGAGAAAGCAGCTAAGGATGGCTCTACTCCACAAATAGAGCATTTTTGTTTTGATTTTTTATGCCAATCTCCCTTGTGCTTCTGGAAGCAAATCTGCGTATGTCTTTCTGTGATGAGGGATTTATTTGGGGTTGAAGTACATCCGGTCCAGCAGTCAGACTTGGGTGGTAAAATACCAGGGAGCACAGGATCTCAAAGTGAAACCATTAGCAGTCTTACTCTGTTTGCAGGATGGGACAGCTCCCTTGTGGATTGCATCGCAGATGGGTCACAGTGAAGTGGTACGAGTAATGCTGCTTCGTGGAGCTGAGCGAGATGCCGCCCGGGATGTGAGTAGACTTCTTCCTGTGCTCTGTCTGCAGCTTAACACCTCCTAGCTTTTTCTGAGGCTGCAAGTCTGCCTGGTGTCCCCAGAGTATGTCCTGTTTGCCATGATGTAAAGTCCCAACATGGGCTCCCTTTCTCCCATTGTGTCTAGGACATCTTCCTGGAGGGACCTTCTGGAATAAAGGAATGGAAATGTCTGTATAAAGATGTCTATGGTGTCACTGGTTCATTTTACCCCGAAGTTTTCACCTGCCAAAGCAACAATCCTCCTGATGCTCTAAAACCGCAGCATATGCTGTGGAGTTGTCTCCTCAAAAATTTTGAGCAGAGAAGACCCTCTTCTCAGAGGTGTGGGGGAAAGCTGGTGTTTCCCTCCAGCCAAGGGGAATGCAGATAAAGCATTGCTAACAACTGGACTGACCTTCCTGTCTCCTTCAAAGGATGGTACGACTGCTTTACTGAAGGCTGCCATCAAGGGGTACAACAATGTGATAGAAGAGTTGCTGAAATTCTCTCCCACTCTTGGCCTGCTGAAGGTTAGTAGTGAAACACATGGATTTTTAGACAGGAGCTCAAGAATGAGTTTCTGATGAAAGATCTGATGTTTATGACTATGACAGAGGAAGATTACAAGGAGCTTGAGCCCCCCAAAAGAAAAATCAAGAGAAAAATTATCTTATTTAGCCTTTAATGCCACACACAAATTAATCTTTTCAAACAAAACTGTGAGTTTGATTTGTAGAATAAGGAAGCTTAGAAGTCATAGAAGAATTTTCCTGCTTTTCATTCATTTTTATTCTTACTGTAAATGGATTGCTCTTAACAGTGTAGTTCTTAGCACTTCTATTGTTCTAGTTCTATTGCATTTTGTCAGTAAAATAGTATCCTAAGAGATCTGTTGTGAGCAGATTCTCTACTTGTTTTTGTTTTCATCTGAAGTCAGAAAGTGACTTGAAAAATAACATATTTGGAAGCTACTTTTTAATAGCTTATCTAATTATACGTATCTATAAATCACATACTTTGATAGCCTCTGTGCATGCAACATTGGCAATTTTGATGTGCTTGAAAATCCAGGTGGCATTAACTTAGTTGTTAATTACAAGTATGAAATATCTTCCACACTTATTTGAACTGTCAATTTGCAGCCACAGACAAAAGGCCAGCCATAAAAATAATCCCTATTCAGCTGTCTGACACTGAGACCATTAATCATCAGAGAAAGAAGATAAAATGCACAGATGGTTTCCATTACTGCTTGCACTTCTGTTTCACTTGCTAATGGCTGGTTTTGCCAGGCAGAAGCAAGTGCTGTGTCCATTTCACCTCTAATCAATTGACAAGGGTAATTTTTAAAAGGAAATACTGCTGTGGTGAAGTGAATTTGACTCTCTTTTTTATTAAAGCATTTAAAATCACCTCCTTCATAGCCCGCTAGCCTACCAGCACCCTGTCTGAATCAGACACTGTACTTTTAATGACCTAATTTCTTCCGTGTTACTTCTTTCTTGTTCATAGGTTTGTTCTTTGCAAACATTTGTGTTTCACTGCCTTTGGTTTTCTTCCCATGCACAGTACAAACATTTCCATTGGTATTTTCTAGAACGGGACCTCTGCTCTCCATGCGGCTGTCCTGAGTGGCAACGTGAGGACAGTGGCACTGCTCCTTGAAGCAGGAGCAGATCCGTGCCTGAGGAACAAGGTACATTCTGGCACACTCTCCTGGGCAAGGAGCAGGTGGGAAGCACTGAGCAGTGGAGCCATGTGTGCCATGGAGGCAGTGGCAGCCCATGTTTCTGTGTTAGTCCACAGTTCCCTCCTGTTCCTCTCCTGAAGCATCACCGTTTAGTCCATTCATTGCTGTATACAGGCATCTATAAGGGTGCTGGGCAGTGCCACTGGTGATGCTGGTTCTTGTGAAGTAACATCAATCTAAGAATATGCAAACCATGCACTCACTCACTCAAGCACCACGAATTGTTAATTACTCATGGGCTAGCTAGGTTGCATTTCAGGAAAAAAAAAAACCACCATAAGTTATGTTCTTGTAAGTCGTAAGTTACACCATACCTCCCTATGGTCGTGTAAGAATGATATTTCTGCAGCAAAAGAAATGTGTATCTGGGTACCTCTGATAAGAAAACTTGGTTAGAATTCAGGACATTGCTAATACAAAGAAATCCTGCATTACATGTATCTTTACCATATCTTACTGTAAATTTGCTAGTTTAGTGAAATAGTTTCATAATCTTTTTATAACAACAACTTTTCTGCAGAAAAAAATGGTCTTTGTTTTTTCCTGTTAAGTATTTTAACATTACATGTTTGCTAATTTCCATGAAAATGTCTTCCTCTGACTTGTGTTTATTAACTATTTGTCTCTAGCATTTGAGATCTAGCTGGGTTTGCTAAGCTGTGCATGGGTGGTCTGGTATTTACTTCTTGTTTATGACCGGGTGAATGACAGTTTGTAATACAAGAAACCCAGCACATACCTTCTGACTGTTTTGGTCATTTAATATAAAATCTGTGCCTGTTATTTCTGTATCATTCCACTTGATGGCAGCAAAGTTAACGACTCTCATACAGTAGTTCCTATTAACAGGCATTTTGATTTGCCGCTATCACCCGAACAACACACAAGATTTTTCTGCTACTGATGGTGATTTGCAGCAGAAGGGTGTGCAGTATGAGAAAGTCTGGCTGTAATCTCTCCTACTGATTTTTTTTTTTTAGTGACATGCGATTAGGCACAACAGAGTACATTTGCAGGACAGAATTCCTGATTTTCAGAAGTAGCTTCATTACAAAGACAGTTTGTTACCAAATTTGTATTCAATACACACTGAAGACCGAACTCTGATGTTCTATTACCAATCCTATAGAATAGCATGAATTATTTCATAGCAATTAAAGTATTCTCTCGGATCTTTATGGACTTTTTTTGGACTTTGGTACTTAAAGACCTGCCTCATCTCCCCAAAAAATCAGTACTTCTGTGGCAGAAGCATAGGGAGCCCAAGGGATGCCATTTAACCTGGACAGTCAGCACAAAATAAGATGACCATTTTGAACCCACACTGGGACTATTTTTAAGACTTAAGTGGGAATTGCATGCTGAAAGGTGATTTCTTAAGATATCTCCAACAGTGGTGGGACAACATTGGAATAAACCCATCATTATAATGCCCAGTAGCATCTTCTCTAAAGTTGAATGTTTTTAAACCATGTTTTAGAAATACTTGTTCATTTCTGCTAACCCAAGGTTTTGTTTCATTCCAGGCAAATGAACTTCCAGAAGAACTAACGAAAAATGAACGAATCCTTCGACTCCTCCGCATGAAGGAAAAGCAAGGGAAAAGCTAATGCAGCCGTGCAGCAAATATGGTTTGACAGAGATGCACCCTGACCACAGTAGCATGACTGTAAACCTAGGTTGCCTAAGAAGGGCTTGTTGGAACAGTTTGCAGAACTGATTAGCCTCTCCAGTACACGCTTCCTGAATGCATAAGGCCCTTGCCATGGTGTCACCATGGGCTAGGACCTCTTCCTGGCATTACTGAACACAGGACTGCAATGAGAGCAGGGGTTGGCCTGGGAGCTGCCTTTGCACTGCAGCCCCATGGTGCTGCTGCCCTCCCTTTGCTGACAGTGCTAGCTCAGACCATTCCTCTCTACTTCCAAGTGCCACATGGGGCTAGAGGTGAGATCCCACCTGTGACATCCCAACAGAAAAAGTCCTCCTGCCAGCCCAGTTCTTTGATAACATTTTGGCTACTACATGAAGCTCCGTGAAAGATGATTCAGAGAGTTACAAATGATGCCAAAAGCTACCAAGCAAACAATAAGCAAGGAGATGTCCTCCTCAGGTGTAGCATCTTGATCTGTCAATCTGTCCAGCAACAGGAACACAGCAGAGCAGCTGATAGCATTTTGCAATGTGTACACAGTGCTATGGGGATCCATCCCTAACCCTGCTGTCTACATACATGGATAGGGGAGGACCAGTTACTGGGCAAACCAGCCAGGACATATCATTCACTGGTGCAAGTCCATCAGAAATTCAACTGTTGGGCACAACAACACAGATGTTGTACAAGTGGTAGGTATATACGTATGTTCTGCACGTGCATATATGTGACACTATGGTTCACTACCCACAGCTACTATGCAATGCACTTGTTCCCCAGGTCTGTGAAAGGAGTTAAGGGAGAAGCGCACAGTGTACAGATCTTTCAGCAGTTAATAAGAGGGCTACACATAGCCGCATGCAAACAGGATCACTAATTGACGCAGGCATGGAAAATGAACTCTCAACAGCAATTTTAGCTTTTGTTGTGATTGGGACACTTAGACACGCTACCACTGCCTGTATGGGGAAGGCAGTGCAAATTGCAGATGGTTTGTGAAGAGCTATGTTTGAAACATGCTGATGAAAGATACCCCATTAAACCACAGTCATTTTTGTAGTATAAATAGTATATACTACATCTTGTTAGCCAAAAAAAAAAATTAAAAAAAAAATTAGAGTTTATTTTACAGTGAGTTGAGATATAAAGTTAGCTCAGTACATAAATCCAGGCACTTCAGCGGCCTTCAAAACTTGACAAACTACTGCAAAATCGCTTTAAAAGCTAAAGACAGGGAAGATTGTAAAGAAACCAAATATTCCCTGCTTAAGAGACATCTGCCTAGGATTCAGCTGAACTGTTGCACTTTTGCTTCAGTGAGCTAAAAAAAAAAATCCACATTATTTTAGTGAGCCAGCACAAATTAATGTAATGTACTCAGTGCAAATTAGCCATATGTCTTACCAATCCTAAAGTTATTCTTTTTGTAAGTTAGGTAAGAAGTCATGGTTCTGTTGAAGAGAACGGAAGTGGGCGTACCTTTGCTTGCAAGCTGAAATTGCTGTTCAATTTCTATTCAGCATTAGAAAGGAAAGCTTTAATTTTTCCAATAATATAAGAAGACACCAGAGAAATCTATTTGTTTAGGTAATTCATGCTGCTGTATTTTTAAATTAAAATAATGTTGTGCCTAACAGAAACTTGCAGACTAACTGGTACAGAACCAAAGAATTATGCAAGATGCTTTGAGCATGACTGTATCCAGGGGTAAGTTCTGCAAAAGACTAAAAAATACTGTATATGCAGCAATCTCGAGAGCCTTATTGGGAACTTAAATTCCACAAGCATTACATGGGACTGGACTCCAACTTCTTTAATAAGCAACACTGGAGAGGACAGTTTTATTCAGAGCCCCCACTGGGCTGAAGATGAACATACTGTTTTGGGGAATGCTAGAGGGACTCTAGGCAGCCCAGCCTCAATATTGACCTTTCTCCTTAAACTTTCCTCAGATCAACACCTGGGGACAACCACACTCTTACGGTGAAAAGCCCTTTCACAGTTGTAAAGGAGGAGGGTGATCATCAGGTGGTCTTCAGTAGTCATATTGGGTGAGCAATAAATACTCTAAATATCAGGCAGGCTGTAATGATCATGCAGTCTTGCTAAACAATGTGGAAGCATCTACTGTTGGTGAGGGCCTCCTACTTTTTCCTGATAGCAGAGCATAGAAGTGAGGACAGGGCAAGCCAACAGTGGTCCTGTGACAGCTGGAGTAAGCAAGCTGAGACAACAACATACAGGTGTTCAGTATATGCAGGTAGCCTCTCCTTTCTGCCAGATGTATTTCCTTGTGAGAGTGGTCTCACCCCAAAGGGGGCAGCTACTCAGCAAAGAGCTTCTTCTGGAATTATGCCTGTCCATGGAAAGACGCATGCCTGCTCCCCACCATTTAGAGTAGGACTTTCGAAGTTGTGTGTCCAGCTGCCTCTGTGAATGGCCACCACAGCCGGGGCTGTCATGCAACATGAGAAGAATGGGGTGCTATGCCCAGCACAGAGCATCTTCTGACCACCTTCTGAGAGGGTGCAGTTACCAGGTCCTCTTCTTGTAAGCAATATTGGGCTATAACTGACTTTTCTTATTTCTCAACAAAATTTGACATGTGGGGCTAGCACAGGTTGAAGGGATAGGCTTGTAGCTCCCTCCTTGCTCTCACTAATGTTGGCTGATACGCACACGAGCTCTGTGTAGTGAGCTCCACGGTGGAGAAATGGCAGCAAAGTCTTTCTCTGCCCCGTCCAGGCTGAAGTTGAATCTAACTTCAGCAAAGATACTATTCAGCCAACATGAGACTTTTAGGCATGGAAACCTTCCCACTGGGAGCATGTTTCATCTCTGACCTTTCAGATAGTAGGCTGCTAAAAGTTTTGGGTTCCCTGTAACAAAAAGGTGCTTATTCTGCCTGTAGATGGGCCTGAGAGATGCAGTACTGTTTCTCACCATGCAATTGACCTTTTCACAAAGAAACCTTAATAATTCTTAGTGTTCATGTAGCTGCTGTTATCTTTAAAGTGCTCAGTAAATATTGCTGTGGTTTGTTTGCTGTTCTAAAACTGAAACCTGCTTTCCCTTTGTGGATGAAGTGATTCACAAATATTGACAGTAGCTCTTTGCATAGTTGTTCTGCCTTTTGTGCAAGGCTTTCAAAGTGCTCTGCAGACACTATTAAAGTTCCAAAATGCACTGCCAGGGGAGGCAGCAAAACAGATTATTTCATTCACACACCAGTGAAATGCAGCAGCTGTTTATCAGTTCATGTCAATAGACAAGAGTAAATTTAGACTAGAAATTAAGGAGCATTAAACCCATTTCACAGATGGCAGGATGAAGCTTGGTACCACATAATGATATAAAATAGAAGTGGGACCAGCCCAAATTGTTTTTTTGGGGTTGGGTTTTGGGGTTTCGTTCCCCCCAAAAGTGCTGTATATATGTATATCCATCTTACACCCCCCAAAAAGTCAGCTCCACTAGCATACTGCTTTTAGGATTGCCTCTCTGCACATCAGGGTCCACAAGCCCAGTGTGCTGGGATTTATGCAGGTGCTACAGCCTGGTGACTTCCCATCAGCTGCAAGTGAGCACAAAGGATGTGCAATCAAGAACAGGCTACACAAATGAATCAAGGAAAGGTATAGGGCATCTTTCTTTAATTTCACTAGTATTAAACCATTGTAGAATGGGGATGAGCACAAGGAAAGTCTCATGTTGTATACAGAGAAGTAGCATCCCAACAGTGACACGGTCACGGCATAGACTCAGACATCCTAAATACAGGGACCTCTTCATTTAAGATGATCACTGCAGTGCACTGTGCAGAGACATCTATTTAGTAACGATACAAAAGGAGCGTTGTACCTCCTGACTTGCACATGCTGTTTTCTTGGAGCAAAACCATGTCACTATTGATCCACCCACCTTTGTTTAGTTTAGAAGAGCTAAGAGGATTAGAGCACCAGATCAAACATCTGCAGGTTATATTTAATGCGCTTGTAACAAGGAGGGTTATTTGCCTCGGAGTCAGAGCCTAATTGCAAGAATAATCCATGCTTCTTTATTCAGATAGTCATGGTGACTAGTGGGAAATCTGCAAGTAAACCAAATCTCATGTTGTCTCAGAAATTTCAGAATTGGTGTACAGAAAATGAGGTAGCACAAACCCCAGCCTATTTGTGCTTCACTTAAACTGAACACTGAACAGACAAAATTCTACCTTTGTCTGGACCCCTTGAGTCAGCAGTGTTAAAATGTTTATGCTTACTACGAGTCCAACCAAAGATTATACACAAGGCTCTGTTTTTCAGAACCAGAATATTGTGGTGCACACACAGGACTAAATGGAGTTGTGCCTTCTTACAGTGGCTCTGCACTTGGTCCTGGGAATATAACAGTAGTTTCACAGTTTTCTGAATTCCACAGTTTTGACATGCTATTTTATGCATTTGATGAAACGTATATAAATTTGTGTAACTCCATGTAAGACTAACAACAGAGATGTTGTTGCTTTGCTAAAACACTTTTTTCCATACCATCATTTCAATAAAACTTACTATACTACTCAGATTATCCTGCCTGCATACTTCAATATTTCTTTCCTTTCTTCTGTATTCTACTCTTTCTCTTTGTAGAATACCAGAATTAATTTCCTGTTTAAGTAAAGACCACTTTGTTCCATCCCACTTGATTGATTAGACTTCTATTATTTTCCAGGTCTTTACAGATGAGATAGCATTCACAGAACAAACAAAGCCAACGTCCTGGCTTGAGAAACAGGAAAACTTAATTTAGCATGATATAATGAGGTTTGTTTCAAAGATCCAGACATCACTGACGGACTCCCCTTGACATTAACATCCATTAGGTCAGATCTGAAGGGAAGATTATAAAAAGCAACTTAGGAACCAAGACTATATTTCCATTTATTTTGTCAAACATGTCTTGGTGGTTCTGTTACTATTCCTAAATCTAAAACTGGCCTTACACTGATCTGACCTATTTCAGTTAAAAAAAAGTCAATAGCCTCCTCATATCCTTATTATGGTATGCTGTGGATTATGTGTGCTATAAAAGGGGAAAAGAGTCTACACCAAAAGCCACATTTTTGATCTTATGTTTGACATCCCAGGCTTTTTCCCTTACTCCTACAATTTTATATTGTGATGAGCTACATTTTGAATCATTGTCAAAAATTCTTACAGTCATAACTCAGTAAAGCACCTCCATCTATTCAGAGAATGTAAAGAGAAAGTGCTGTAACTTGTTCATGGCCTAAATCACTATGAAGGATGATTTCTGGTAGCAGAAAACTCCTTAAATTTGCACATGAAAGCACAACAAAACAGTGTCAAGAAGCTGAAACTAGACAAATTCATGCTTCAAGTTCTGGATTTTCAGGAATGAGGATAATTATGTATGGGAACAAATTGCTGAGGTGACGTCTTCATCATTTGAAGGTTGTTTTTCTTAAATAATTACTTTTCATTCTGAAAGAGTCATTTCACCTGAAACATTTTGTGGTTGATGCAGGAACTAACATCATGCAATCATTATAATCTCCTTGTTCTGAAAATATATGAATCAATGCATTTTTTTCCTTAATCTCCTCAGTGATTTAAAGAGATGCTAACTCTCGTGAGATCAATAACAAGACCGTATGCCTACCAACTGTAGCTGAATGACATGGCAAAATGAAATCAGAGACACATACCTAAGTTGTCTCTAAATCCATCCATTTCGCTCTCACAATGTTAACAATGCATTTTAACTGGGCTAATGTTTTAATGTCCTGTTTTTAATGTTGAGTAAGTTCTCTCAGAGCTGGCACGAGGGCAACGTAGCACTGCACCTTGCCAGAAAGCAGGGATGAGCAGAGCAATCTGGGATGTGACAGTGGGGAACACAGCTAAACCCGGAAGGGAAAAGGGATGGAACTTTTTGCTACAGCAAATGTTTCACTGGCTTGGATGCACAGGTGGAGCACAACTTTAACCTACAACACAGACTTGAAGCAGACTGCAATTTCGAATGTACCGCACAGATGTGTTCTTACGTGGCATTTATGTTACATGCATGCATACATACTTTGTATCCAGCATATGGGTATAATTCCCTTGGAAAAGTGATACCAGAACCTTGTGGTCTGCCTATCCAGACTACATCACATAAAGAGGCAGAACTATTTCACTTTCTGAACACTCCCAGAACAGTCCCTGCAGGCACTCCCTTGGCTATAAAACTGCATCAGACCCTACTAACTGGGACAAACTGTTATAAAACTGACAAAAGGTCTTCAAGTCCAGCCATAAACAGGGTGTTCCTCAGGTCAGCTGTGGCTCATAAACCTGTCTCATCTCTCCTGGCAAGTCAGATTTTGGTAGTGCCCTCAGGGACTTCCCTGTGACAGTTCTGCCCGTATTCTCTACTTCAACAGCAATCCTGACTTACTCACCATGTGAAAAGTATGGTGCTCACAGGGGCTTAGTAAACTGACATTAATGAAACCCAGGAGCATTCATTATACACAGTCATTAATAGGTCAAACCTTGAATTTGTTATCATATCAGTGCTTATGCACAGTACCTGGCTCAAGTACACCCTGCACCTCTTTGCTCACAGTAACAAGTGCAGCATGTCTCCAGACTCTACTGCAATAATAAACTGCATTTCTAAAGTGTTTTCCTTCAACAGCTCACTGGCTGACACCTGGGTTTGGAGCTCTTGGGCTACATGTTGCCATGCAATTGGCATCACTTTACAAAAGAGAAAATTGCACTGGAGAGGCTGGGACTTGCTCAGATTGTCCAACAAACCTGTAGCAAAATTGGAACAAACGTTGAACAATTTGAATTCAAGTCCCAAGGTTTTGCTACTAGGCAATAAATAACTTTGCCTAATTGTAATAAAAATGAACAAGCTTCAATGACTTCAATGATAAATACAGAAAGGATGTGATCTTAAAGAGTAATTATATGATTTTCTAAGGTTAGGTAGGGACACACTGGCACAATTTGGTAGAGGAGCCATCAAAATACATTAGGGCAGATACAAAGATGAAAAGATAAAAAGACTTGATTCAGCATCATTTGACATACCACATGTATATTTAAATAAGTACTGGCAGCACCAAGCAGATTGCTGTCAGTCCCCTCAGCCTGGTTTGATCCCACATGGGAAGTCTGAAGCCAAGAGCATCTGACCGAAGTAATAGGTATTGTGGCGTATATAATTAAAAGGCAAGCAGGTCTCCACAGGTGAGGAAGGCTGACAAATGAGAGCTCCTTACAACACCAAATAGGAAATACCAGCTTTGCTTAGTACAAGTATTATTCTGGCTTAGCTGGAAAAATAGGCTTGGAACAAGCTAGAGTGGTTTGGACTGGCTCTACAAAAAAAATGGAGGTGTGAGAAGCTGGGCGAAACTTCTCACTCACCTGTTGCAGCTTGTCTTCACACACATTGCAAGACATGCAAGGAGAATATCCCACTTTCCCATGTGCTCGTACACGGTGTTGCTTAACATAGCTCCCACTTCTTGGAAGTGTCTCTGGGTGCTATCTCAACATAAATAATAAAGGCTAGCAATAAATTATGGAGAATAAACAGCGATGGACAGTTTAATTGATTTTGCAGCAAAGCAATTACATACTGCACTTCCATTTGCGTGCAGCAGTAATTCTTCAGATAGACTGCCATCTAGACATTGCAAGGTCATTACTACTAAGTGCTTGAGTTTCTAGTAGAAGCAGCAACACCGGTTTCATTTCTGCAATGGGTAAAACGATGGATGTACAGTAAGGCCTACACACCCCTAAAGCAATGCTGAGGGCTTTCCATCAAAGGTGTAGAACAGAACAAAGTAGGCTGCTATTTTACACAAGCTTCCTGGCAGGCACCTTTACACCATTCACAGTATCCAGTGAGGAAAAGAGCTGATTTAATCGTAACAGACAATTAAAGGGCTTGTTTGGTGTCATGGAGTCATCAAGCTACACCCTGAGTGATGAATGAATGATGAAAATATTGGTCTTTTCTTCAAGGCAGCAAAATTTAGTTTTGTATATGCTGCTGAGAACTAGAGTAAATATTTTCCATTAGTCTTCCACGTGGACAGTCCCTAACAGCTATGCATAATCCTGGGTTTAATCCCAGGGTTAAATCCTTTAACTAGAGCAGCTATGAATGGGGATGGTCTCTTTTGGGCCATGTTTACGACAGAAAAGGCAATGAGCTGCTGGCAGCATTGATCTGGGTTAACTATTCAGGGCTACTTTTTCCCTGCCCGGAAGGAAAGAGATATCTTTAAGATGACACAATCAACGATGCCAACTTCATCATTGATAACACTCATGTGACTACACTTACATGCCTGGGAGCTGCTAGACATAGCTCTGCATCCTCACTTGCTCTTACTGTTCCCTGCAGCTACCAAATAGGACGATGTGGAGGAAGGGAGCTACACTCCTCTCAGGCAAAGAGGCACAGATTAAAGACAGAACATGGAAACAGGTCTTTAGATACAAGAAAAAAATAAAAAACCCAACCAAACCAAAAATATTTTACTCTAACTGTGGTCAAAGAGTGGAATAGTATGTCCAAAGAGGTTGTGAAATCTCCGTCTCTGAAGCTATTCATAACACAACCAGACAATTCCCTGAGCCACCTGGTCTAACTGCATTCTGCTTTCAGCAGAATGTTGGACTACATGACCTTCCACAGGTCCCTGCCCAACAGATTTGCCTGTGAGATTATGACACCAAGACTAGTCTGCATTTTTGTCACCAGATGGCAATATCAGCTAAATTACATATTTTATTCCAGCAGTGCATTGTGCACTACCCTGCCATGAAAGCAATAAAGCGGCTGGGAAATCAGAGAGGCTGCATAGGAATGTGTACCATCCCACTTTTAGTGTGCCTCCTCCCAGCCAGATCCCAAACAAACTGATCCCAAACAAACAGATCCCAAGCACAGTAACAGCATGCCATCAGCACTCCCAAAACTGATTGCAACACTAGTCAGGCCACCCGACATCAGCCCACAGCTCTGCCAGCAGCCAAAACCCCAGCAAAGCGTTCCTCTACCAGGTAGCCTGATCTGCCTTGCATGGGAGTATTTATTTATATCATTTATATTTAATAGAATAACAGAGTCACAGAATGTTTTGGGTTGGAAGGGGCCTTAAAGATCATCTGATTCCAAATCCCCTGCCATGGGCAGAGACACCTTCCAGCGGACCAGGTTACTCAAAACCTGGTTCAACCTGGCCTTGAACACTGCCAGGGATGGGGCCGCCACAGCTTCTCTGGGCAACCTGTGCCAGTGCCTCACCACCCTCTCAGGGAAGAATTTCTTCCCATTACCTAATTTAAATCTCCCCTCTTTCAGCTTACAGCCACTCCCCACCATTTTACCACTACCTTCCCTTGTAAAATGCCCCTCTCTAGACTTCCTCTAGCCCCCTTTTGGTACTGGAAGCTACTCTAAGGTCTCCCTGGAGCCTTCTCTTCTCCAGGCTGAACAAGCCCAGCTCTCCCATCCTGTCTCCATAGCAGAGGTGCTCCAGT